TCAAATTCAGCAATTGTAAGTGTTCACATCACATTGCAAATGAAAATGAACCTTATTACTAATTGAGGTGCACTCACTCAGCAGTATGTAAATCAAAAACCACAACACCTTAATTTTCTGAGAAAAATTTAATGAAAAGCAAATGTTTTCAGCCAGATCTGTTGGCCATCATCAGGCTAAGATATATAAACAAAATAGAACAAAAATTTAAATACAAATAAAATAAAATAACGAATGAATTATATATATAAATGTATAAAGAAAAATAAAATAAAATAAAAATTATTATTATAAATAACAAAATATGTACAGTGGTACCTCAGGATACGAACGCCCCAGCATACAAAATTTTCAGGATACAACATGAAATTCGAACATATTTTTGCTCCACGATATGAACAAAAACTCACCATACGACATTACATTAGTTTGCAGCTCCATTTTTTTATTCACTTCTGTTCATTGGTCTCAGTCCGCATGTCAGTCTCTCTCGATAAAAGAAATCTTGAGGTATTATCAGAAAGTGACTGATTTTATTGAAAAGAAACATTCCGAAAAGGTTCACACTAGCCGTATTGCTGCTCAGTTTAATGACATTTGCCTAAGTCATATCTTTCCTAAGTTATTTTTAAGTTATTGTTACATTATATTATGTAAGTTAAGTTTTAGTATCATTTTCCTTCTCCCTCTCTCTGCCACCAGTTTATACCTCCACCGTCGTCTATCCTCAAAGGTAAAGTACAAATAAAACTACATTTTTTTTAACAATTATTATTCTATTATGATTATTTATACATTTACAACTACAAACACATTTTCAGTGTTTTTCCTTACTATAGTTTTTTTTCATGTACTACTTAGCTTTAATTTGAGTGTTTTTTTCGTGTTTGAACGAATTATTTGGTTTTGCATGTAATCGTATGGGGAAAAATGATTCACCTTACGACATTTTCATGATATGATCTCAGTTTCAAAACGGATTAATTTCGTATCCTGAGGTACCACTGTATATAAATACAAGCATAAGTTAATTAAATATTAAAACATTATATAATAATACATTATATGAAATGCAAGATACACAAAAAAAAAGTTTGCTTTTCATTAAATTTTCTCTCAGCAAATTAAAGTGTTGTGTTTTTTTGAACCTCATTACTCCACAGAATTTGCCAGGGTTATGCAGGTCTGGCTCAGATGTTTGTTTTTCAGACATCAAACCAAAATCCTGAATTTTCAAATTTCTAAGAAAATCTGATAATAGAATTTTTTTTGCTTTCTGATTCTTTGTCAAGCATATAACATTTACATATTTTATGTAAATTTTGTATGTGCTTGTAAATTATGTTTAATAAAATTATATAATTTTTGAATTAAAAAATTACTTTTTGCAAATATTTTTGGGCTCCACTAAACTTTTTCCTGTATCAACAAAACTAAGATTTTCTACATAACTTTCCAAACTTATACAAAGCATGTCTTAATTGTTGTGATATTGCTCATGCATTACTTCTACTGCTTACTACATACGGCACTATATTCTATGCATTAGAAATATCTTCTATTTTCTGATGTCCAATCAGTTTGCAACATTGTCCTAGTTTCACAGCAAAAATTCCAATCTCCTCAAAATACAAAATCATTTTTCTAAAATTTCCAATACTCAGGGACCTCTTCATAAACTTTTTAAGCACCAAAATTCCTTAAGTGCCAAGCTAGCATTGCTATTTCACTGATAGAAGAGTGAACAAGTAATGCACGATCAGGCAAAATGACTGTTAACCTTGTAGGATTTCATCAGATGGCATATTTATGAAAATTAACTTGAAGACACAGTCTGTCTGAAATTGGGAACCACTATTTATTCACTTGTTGTGTTCCAGAATACAAACATTTGACGACTTGACCTTTCTTTTTAGGCTGCTTGACCATCAAGTTTTGAAAACATTCCTTTAAAAAACACAGAAAAATATCCAGTTAAAATTGAAACTGGTGGATCTTACAGACATTTTCATTTTTCTTTCCATCCTTATCACTTGGGAATTTTCGAGCTTTATATCTACTGAAGATAATGTGCTGGTAAATGTAGATTTTCATAGCTTCCCCCTGGTGATGAATCTTTGCAAATGTTTCAATTATAGGATTTCATCGGATGGCAAATTTATGAAATAGTACATTTTCCTCAGTAGATATAAAGCTTGAAAATCTCAGAGTGGTAAGGATGGAAAGAAAAATGAAGATGTCTGTAAGATCCACCAATTTCAATTTTAACTGGATATTTTTCTGTTTTTTAAAAGAATGTTTTTAAACTTGACGGCCAAGCAGCCTAAAAAGAAAGGTCAAGTCGTCAAATGTTTGTATTTTGGAACACAAGTGAATAAATGGTGGTTCCCAATTTCAGACAAACTGTATCTTCAACTTAATTTTCATAAATGTTAACCTGTCAAAAAATGAACATTTTGTGATCCTTTCATATCCAAAATTTACTAGAAAATGCATTTAATATGCATATTAAGGAGACAATATCTTCAATAAAACAATTAATTTGAATAAAGTAAATACAAGAATGAGTTTATTTGAAAGTATATTCAACTCTTGTACCGTACATGTAATATGTAACACAATTTGAATTGTTTGATCATTTGTATTTTTAAGTTGTTTTCTGTTCTATCATCAGAACCTGATGATCTTTAAATAAGATCAAAAACTTTAGTTCATTACATTTTTTCTATTACCGGATTAAGTTAATTATTTGAAAGTAATAACTTCTGTGTTCCAAAGAACTGATATTCAATTCAAATTACTTAAAACATGAAACAAGCCAATAAAAATATATACAAGTTTTATTATTATTATTATTTACACTCAATATTAAAATATTTCACAAGTACTCATTGATAAATTTTTTAAATTATACATTCTGTACATATTTATGTACAGAAATCCAAACTTTTGTATGTGTTATGATTTTGTATTTTTTCTTAAGTATATATTTCTTTGCTTCTTAATTAGTTGATTTCATTTCAATAATAATTAGAATTTAACTTATTCTTTGTTGTTCTTTCTGGTATTAGTGTTTAAGAAAGAATAAATCAAAAAAAATTCTTTACAGCAAATATTATAACCTTTAAATAGAAATTATTTTTAGCCCTACATCAAAGCAAACATTATGAAATGCAACCTAATTTGAAAATTAGAAGAAAAAATAAACATACTAAAATGCTTTTCAAATTTACAACTGTTCTCCAACTGTTAAAAATAGTTTGTATTCCATGTTTACTATATATAAGCAATAATATCAGAAAACAGTCTTTAACTCATTATATTTGCAATCTAATATTCATATTAAATAAAATATCTGGTTTATTGGCAAATCTAATAAATAAACATGCATTTAAAAATTAAATCTTGAAACTATTATGTAAAAGTACAAGTAGATTAAACAAAAAAAACAAGTTATTCATTTAATATTTTGAATGCTTACATTCCAAATCTAAATTATGTCATTTTAGCATTGTTCTTTATTCAATTCAAAATTGAAGTTGACTACATATTAGTTGAAGTGATTTTTTTTCAATTTCAGTTAACAGTCTGTTTGCATTTTTAAATAAACATGTGCTTTGCATAACATAATATTTCTATTTAAAAGATGAATTTTAATACTTGACACATTAAATTCTAGTTACAAAAATTCAATTTTAAAATATATTCAAAAAAATAAAATTTAAATTTAAAAACAACAGTAAATTTCAAACCAAATAATTGTACATAATGTCCTCAAGCAGCATAATTTTCTATTTAATTTATTCAAAAATTTAGTTGATCAACTCCATACATTTTTTTTTTATTCTTTCAAATATAATATGAAATGTGAATCTTTATTTCAACTAGAATTTAATGTTTCCATCTATAAAGATTAATTGTAAAACACAAGTGTTAGGATTGCAAATTCCATGTTTATTTATTAGAAAATCCAATAAAATAAATGTTTTATGCATTCATAAAAGTAACTTCAAATTCATGTTTGATTTCTGAGATGAGCATCTTTTAATGATGTGGGTTTCTTACATTTTCTAAGTCAATTATTTATATTTCATTATATATATAAATATTTTTATGAAATTAAACTGAAAAAACACTTATTAGCTTATAAGCAGTTTAATTTTAAACTGAATAAAAATTTAGATTAAATAATACTTTTCTCAGTTCATAATTTTAGTAATGATAAAATTTATGATACTGAATCATAATATGAATAAGTACAGTATACCAAATTAATAATAAAAGTAAAATAATTTTGCCTACATAAATATGAAATTTATTTTTAAAATAGTCTTTATTTTTATCAAACTCAAAAAAAAAAAAAAATTCAAATATAAATAAAATTTTAAAATATTTTTCTAAAATATTATTGTAAACTCCATAATAAATTAACAAAACTTTATTTCTAAATGCATATAATTAAATTTTTGTTTTGAATTTCTAAATTTTAAAAATATAACTTGCATTTTATTTAAAATATATAACTAAAACAATTTAACATAAAATTCCTTTTTATATCAATATATATTTTTAAAATTATTATTTTTAGAAATTAGGAATTTGAAGTGATTTTGCTTAAGAAATAATGAAACAAAATAATTTTAAATTTAAAAAAATATCCTTTTTTAAATGTCAACTAGTGTTTTAATATAACTTTTTATCAAATTACTAAATTTTTCTTCCTTCAATAAAGCTATTTTGAGAATAAATTTATAATTATCTCTAATTGAAAAAAATTTGCAATGATCATAAATCATTAACCAGAACAGAAAGCAGGAAAATATGAAAATTATTATTGTTATTATTTATATTTATTAAAATGAATTTATTTAATAATTTCAAACTTTTTGTTTTTTATTCATTTTGGTTTAAAACAACCCAAAAGCTGTAACAGAATATTAATATGTTTTGAATGTCATTTTTGTGTATTTAATAATTGAATTTTATATATTTCTGGACCATTTATCTTTTTTATTTATTTTTTTAATAAATATTTGTAAAAGTTTACCTTAAAAACAATAGAGCACATTTTTGCTGGACACACAAATAGTATGTACACAGACATGAAAGTTTTCATGGATTGTTACAATGAATTTGAGAACTATCAGCTTCAACATTCCATAGTTCTTTAGTATAAACAGGATGTTTCACCAATAATTCAGTTTTTTTTTTATTCAACAGTTTCAAATATAAAGTCACTTTGATCCCGTTGCACAATGCTGAACTGATTTGTTTTTGTTTCTTCCACCCTTTGATGAAAGTCCGTGAAACAAGGAGATATTTAATGAAGTTTGTAACAATGATGAAGCTTACAAATGGAAATGAACTCCTTGCACACTGATGACATTTATTATCCAGAATATCTGGGCTAGTATATAACTGTATCTATACAGTATTCAACAATATCAGTCACTATCAAATTCCACACCAACTGTTCGTTTTTTTTTCCTAGGTGGTTTGGGTTTCAATGTTTCTTCATCCTAAAACAAAAAGATAAATAATTTTGATTAAAAAATTATTCATTACAATTATATAAAAACTGAATTACTTAATGTACCTTGAACAATTGGTTTTAAAAAAAAAAAAACAGCATTAAGTAATTCAGCTAAGTTAGTACAGTGGCAAATGAAATGATTTAATGAAAGAATGTAATTAATGAAATGAGAGAATCAAAATACATAGACCATTTAAAATGTTTAAAAAACTAATGGTTTTATTATGTCTAAACAACTTTTCTTTAGAGTACTACTGAGAAACACTCATAATTTATCCTGTATTTACACCACATTTTCTCATTTAACTATTTTCCACAGATCCTTTTTTATTGTACAGTCGACCCCCCATAACACTGTTGATTATTCTGTTTTATATGAATTCCATGTTGTATGAGACACTTATATTTTACAAATAAGTGTGCCAGGATGTGAATGGCTCACGTATTTGTAACTCACCAATAATTATAAGTGGTGCTGGGCCACTCCCCAAAGTTGAAGGATAAAAATTATTTTTATCCTTCAACTTTGGGGAGTGGCCCAGCACCACTTATATTAACAGCATAATAACTTTTATGGTTAGCTAATCAAATATCTTCTAATAATTCACAAAAAGTAGCCAATCAAAGAAATTATCTAACCCATTTTCTGAATCAACATTTAACATGGATACTGAAAATGTAAATTAGCATTGATTTTTGGACCACCAGAGACAACTGTTGATCTATTTGCAACACACTGTTGAAAACTTTAGTGGGTGAGGGTATTATTTCATAAGCATGATCAGTATGGAGTGTTTCACCATCTTATTAAAGAGATACAGTTGCAAGATCACAAAACATTATTTTAATTATATCTGTATGACAACAGAAATATTTGATCATATTCTTTCAATTATTGGATATATCATTGTTTTTCTCTCAATAGTATGTTTCTTTTTTGTTTAGCTATCTCCTTACCCTAGAGACTTATCACTGAACTAAGGTGAGCAAAACTGAATGACTAACATGGCAATCATATTTTTTTATAATTTTACTAATAATTTAATTTCTTTGTTCTATATTTTTGGCTATTGATGATGCCTACCAAACCATATCTAATAGTTATTGAGTGGGAAAAAGCATGTTTTTCCCTTATGTCATTCCTGTGCATGCATGGAATAATGAAACAATTTTTTTGGCTAAACATAAGACTACTCCCATCAAAATCTATTCGGAATCTATTCCAATACAATGTTGTTGTTGCCTCTGAAATGGCTTCCTGATATACAACAACATGGTACATCATTTATGTTACACTGTGTGCCTGTCTGAATGTAGTTTTATACAGTATTTCAATAGACTTTTATATTATATGTTCAGATAGGCTTGGAAAAATAAGATGGCTTCATATAACATCAGCAGAAAATGGAAAAGTTATATTAATGAACTTATTTAGCAAAAACCAGGCTTTCTTCAACATACAGTTGTCCTTTATGATAAACAATGGAAGTCCAAATCAGAATCCTATAATTGGCTAAGATTTGCTTCTATATGCACTATATTTGTAAATTTTCAATATGAAAATAGAATAATATTGGCAAAGGATTCCTTGGTTGGCATCTTGACAACTCATTAACAATTTTAGAATTATTATTATTAAAATATTTTAATTTTTCATTTATTTATTCTCTTGCTTATGTCTAAATGAAATTCATAAATACAAATACCAATGTCCTTATAATTCAAATCACATTCATTCATACTCTTGAATTTCCTCTATTTTGAACTTGTTTTAATTATATCAGTATATTAAGTAATAGCTGTTACAATAAAGCAATTATTTTCCTATCTTTTTAAAAGATATTTAATTTATTCTGCAAAATATTTTTGTAATGTGATTTGTTTATTATTTTAATATACAGTAAAACCTGTTCAAAATGGAATCTTAATAAAACAGAAACCTGCCTACACAGGAAAAATTCTTCAAAACACAGCAACTTTCTGTGTTAAAAAAAACCCTGTTCAAAACTGCAAAAAATACTCAGTACTACATGAGTCTGGTTTATATAGGTTTTACCATATATAAATAAAACAGAGGTTATTTCTGAATATATACTTGTTTTGTAATGATATACGGTATTCCAAATAATTTTTGTGCAGACCCATATATATATAATAAATATTATAACATTTTATTTTACAACTTTGTTTATTTATATATGAAGTAAAAGGAATATACAAACCTCACTGCTATCCATATCACTCTCAGAATCTACAGTTAACTGTTTCGACTTGGCTGTACTTTTAGGCCCAATGCCTTTCCCCCTACCTCCTGTTCTTACTGATTTAGAAACTTTGATATCATCAATATCTTCAACCAAGGCAAATAAATCACTGTATCTATGAATAAAGAAATATTTCAAAATTTGAATAACAATTATCAATAATGTGTACCATAATTGGATTAAAAATACATTTTTAATTATTTAATAATATCCATATTTTCGAAATAATTATTTTAATTCAAAAAATTTTCTTTAAATTAGGAGAAAATGTTACAAATGAAGACAATCACAAAATAACTGTATTCTTATTGGCTCTTCATAGTTATAAACACCCATTTAAACATAATAAAGTCAATCTTTTATCATAAATTCTTTTTTGTCTAAGAATGTAAAAAACTGCTTTCAATTGCAGATGCTTGCATAGAAAAAAACTACAATTATTTTGTGGTTATTATACACTTATTAACTATTTATTTTATATTTAATTATAATTCAAATACAATTAAATTTTGATTTTTCCATAAATAATATTTAAACCAAAGACAAACTTGTGATTTCAAATTTCTATACATGGACAAGCAAACAAAATAATAAATTTATATCCACAAAGTCTAAATATTCATAAATAGAAGTTTTTTAGATAATCATCATCATAAAATTAAAAAAATGGCATCAGATAAAATAAAACATAATGAGAAAAATTACAACAATCTATTTTACATAAGAATTAATCATATTAGAATCAATTTTATATAATTAAACATAATAAAAATATGTAATATTTTATAACAAAATACAATAACTTTGCAATGGAAGAACTGTCTTTGTCTACATTCAATCTTAAAGCAGATTTTACAACTAACTTTAAGTTAGATTTTATTTTCATAGAAAATTATCAAGTAATTACAATCAATATCAAACATTTAGAAATTTTTTTATTATTATTTTATATATTAATTAGGCTAAGTAAATTAATTGTTTAATCATAAAAATAATAGCATGGTTATTTTTTATAAATAATAAAATAATTGAAAAATTTTGATGTTTTTCAAAAAAGTATTATTTCATTACAAATTGAATTTTTTAAATCTTACAAGGGGATGGCATGATGTTAGTTAGGGTCACCAATTTTGATCAAACTTGATGATGATATAGTTTATCCCCAACAACTGACATGTGCCAAAGCAGTAAGGTACAAAATTGAAAAAGTAAATTAAATCCAAAGACAAACTTGTGATTTCAACATTTCTATACATGAATTGAAAATTTCTATACATGAGTAATTGAATTAGAAAACTGAATAATCCCTAAAGCCATTTAGAATACCTATTATTTGCAGAATGGCTGGTGGCTCAGTGGAGGCATGCTAGTTTCATAATCATTAGATTGAGGTTTCAAATCTCATTAGTATTAATATAATTCTTTCATAAAACTATAGTTTTGCTTTATCCTTGGTATTTTTAAAGTTATTATATTGTCAGAGAGAAAAACTGATTTATTTTTGGAAAACTATAAATGTATAATAGACAGAGTTATAAAACAATAAAATCAACTCATTTCAAGTAAGAAGTCAACATCAAACACAATTAAAATAGCTACCTAAAAATATTTATTTAAAACACAACATTTTCTGTATATTTGTGTACAGTACATGCTTACTCTATCAACAAAGTCATTGTTTAATCTAAATGTGTCTATAATTGTGTCTTTGTTCACTAAAGAATGAAAAGATAGCTTTGATATCTCATGTTGATATCAATACCATTAAAATCAGTTATGCAGAAGAATAACTGCATGACAATATTGCAAAATTATGTTTAAAAGATACTTTTATGTATTATGAAAGCCTCCTTGAAAATCAAGATCTAATTGAAGCCAAGAGTTCTCTGTCAATTTTGGAAGTTACATAAGCAGTAGAAGAAAACATTAAGTGCTCCAATATTTTCAAATGTGTTATGGTATGTGTGATTCTCCTCCAAATTACTTGATGAGAGAGAAATGTTTTTAAACATTAATCAAGTTTTGTTTTTCCAGTGACATATGTAAATCTTCTGCTTATTGTAAAAATGCTGCATTTATTCAATGTGGATACTGCAGAAATGTTTATTTCATATGCTTCTACAATAATTATTGCCCACAAAATTGTGCTCCCAAAGAGCAAACAGATTGAATGACATTAATAAAAATGTCTTTTTTATTAACAAAATTGGTCTTGAATAATGATAATTTTATTTATATTTTACCGTCTTTCCGAATAATTACAAATACAGTAAATATTATGTATGAATACTAAATGTACATGAATATTCAAAAATAATTTTGAATTAATTTAATTAATTAAATATAAATTTAAAAATACCAAGACTAAAGTACAAATTATAGTTTCATATATAAAAAAATTACCTTATACCAACAAGATTAAAAACATCACCTTCATGATTACAAAACTGGCATGCTCTCACCAAGCCACCAGCAACTCTGTAAATAATAGATATTCTAAGAGCTGCTGCAAACTATAGGAAGCAGGAGCTAGTGTACGCTCGGTCATGCTCCCGAGCCCCAACTTTTTTCCCATGAGGCTATGAGCCACTTTTGCTAGGAAAGCTATGCGGGCAAGAAGCGACCACAAACTACACAATGTTTGCTCGTGTAATGTAGTTGACATGACATGGATTCACAGATGTGGATTGGCTATAGAACAAGATTTTATTATAACCTATACTTGTAATCAGTCAGTTTTCATTCCGAACTTTGAAACAACATGGGAATAACATGGGAATAACATGTTTACTAGTTAAGCCTAGTTAGGCTTAACTAGCCGAAAACTATTTGTATATAAATAGTAAATAGTTATATATAACGTTTATACTATTTTCTTTTCAATACTGAATGTATTAATCATGTAATTTATGTACATCGATACAATTCTATTATTTCTTTTTCGACATGTGACATGTTCATGTAGTCATCCATCTTCCCCGCTCTCTCTTGCTAGCGTGACTGCTCTAGCTGTTGAATTCTGTGAACAGCAAGCATACTCTCATATTGTTGTACTAGCAAAGGAAAAACCATGCGGGCAAAAAGAAAGGGGCGAGCCTTTGACGTCATCGGTTGTGTTAGCACACGTTTGCTAGTGTTTTGCTCTCGCAAAGCACTAGTTTGCGGCAACTCTAAGGTTTTTAGTGATTATGCAATTTCCAACTTTAATTTTGAGTGTTGCATCTTATTGCTAGGTACATATCAGTTGTTGGAGATGAACTATATCCACACTGAGTCTGATAAAAATGATGACCTCAGTGTCATGCCATCCTCTCATTAGACAAAATTTAGATACTTTAATTGTAAAATTAATATTTTAAATTCATAAAAAACTGCATTTGAATAATTATATTTAATTCAGTAATTTCAAAATTTTGGTCTTAAAGCTGGAAGTTAAACTTGGACTTCAAATCTTTCTCTTAGAATATACACATACCTAATTTGTGGTAGTTATGAATTCAAGCCTCACTTCATGGAGGTATTTTCTCCAGATGTTTCTAAATTGATTAAAATATGTCTGAATTCTTTAATTAATAACAGATGATGACTCTATTTATTTTAATTATTTCAAATCATTAATTTTTTAATAAAATTTGACATAATTTAATTTTTAAATTAATTCAATCCATATCAAATGAAGTGAAAACTTTAAATTCTATGACAATTATCAATATCGTCTTGTTGTACTCTTCTCACATTATATAAGATAGTGAAATATAATATTTTCACCTAGATTTCTCATCTCAAAGACAATTATCCCAGAATGACACTAATTTCTTTATATTATTATCTACAACTGGTAATTTATAAACCAGTTACTGAACAAGGTGAAAAGTTAAGCTGTATCTTGTTAAACATGATAGAGTTAATACCAAATACTTTCTGGATTACATCATGTTATAATATAGCCTGATGTAATCCAGCAAAAAGTTGGCATTAATCTAAAAATTGAGTAATAATAAAAGAATCAAATTTTTAAACCAAACAAAAAATTATTTTACTTGAAAAATTTATAAATTATTTAAATTCTTAGTTTGTTTCAATGTATTCATATATATATTCTACTTTACTTACTAAGTAGACTTGATGATGATATGTATTTAAACCAAGTAATATAATTCTCTGCTGGTTTAAAATGTTGGCTCTTTCATTACAAAAGAATTAAGATGATGATACATTATATCAAATTAAATATTTAACATTAAAAAAAACTGTTTTGATACTTGTGACTTTTTGCAATCTTTCTACACAATCATCTGATACAAGAGTTCATAAACTAAATTATACATTAAAAGTTTATTTCAACTTTCTATGAAAGCTTTTTAAAATATAAACCCTAAAATATAAAACATTATCAAAAAAGTCAATGAAATAGTTAATATTATATTTGCTTTTTAGATATATATTCTTTATTAAAATGTAAACTTTAAAGATAAATTTTTTAAAGCAATATAACATATCAAATTAAATGTAATTTTATATATAAATTATCAGATTACTTACTTGGATTTCTGAGCATCTGAACATGATGACTGAACTTGAATTAATGATGACTGTACAGTTTCTTGATTAAAAACTAAGATATTTAAAAGATATTTTAAATAAAATAAATATTTGAAAGAAACTTTGAAAAAATATTCTATTAATTAAACATGTTTCTTTTTAATAAGTTATATATATATATATATATATATGTGTGTGTGTGTGTGTGTAATAACAACAAAACAAAGATTATCATTTATTGCATAATAAACACTTTTAAACTCAAAGTTAGAAAGTGTTTACTTATGTATCATTGATGATATAAATATGAAGTAAAGAAATGTGTGTTATCTTGTTAAACTTAAGCAAATTTAAAATGAAGAGAAAAAGCAAACATATGAAAGTAATTGAATCAATTAAACATTGCTTAAATAACCAATATCGCATAAGAATTTTTCATTATTTTTAATCAATTTATGAAAATGAGCATAAATGTTTGAAAATGTTTAAAAATAACTTTTAAATTTAACCTCTAAGAATACTTCAAATAAAATATAATGCATACATCCACCATAAACCAAAAAACGGTATGTTAACTCAACTATACAGCTTTCACTAACATGTTCTAACCCAAGGGTAGGCAACCTTTTTTATAACATGGGCCAGAATAAATTTTACGTTTTTTCCGCGGGCCGTAGTAGTTAATTGACACCTTGTGACCTGTAAATTTTTAGTCTGCAAATATGAAATAAATAAATAAAAAGAAATTAATTACTACAGTCGACCCCCCCTATAACACTGTTGATTATTCCGTTTTATATGAATTCCATGTTGTATGAGTCACTTAGATTTTACAAATGCGTGTGCCGGGCTGTGAACGGCTCACCTATTTGTAAAATCTAAGTGACTTTAAACACAATAAAAACAGCACTATGTAGTTGGATACGACAGACATTACATTTTCTAATTGCATAGCTTTTGCATATAGATTTTCTTGATGGATGACGCGAAGAGATATAAATAATTTAGAAAAATTCTGTTCTCCCATTTTTTGTTTGAATAAGGAAATGACTCCCTTATTTTTTCCTGTCATTGCTGCCACAACACTTCAGAAAATAATATTCAATTTAAACTAGACAAATTACATCGAAAAATATTTATTTATAATTTCTTCTAAACATCTCGCGGGCCGTAGCTGGCCCGCGGGCCGGGGGTTGCCCACCGTTGTTCTAACCAACAGTTCTTCTTCAGGTGAAAAACGGACAAATGAAAGAAAAATTTGATGGAACAGTTATGTCCAACATTGACAACGCTTGCACAGGTTTCCTCCGAATTCCGTTTCAAAACTCTTTCAAAAAGAACTGTTTCATCAAATTTTTCTTTCATTTGTCCATTTTTCACTGAAGAAGAACTGTTGGTTCAAAAACATTAGTGAAAGCTGTATAGTTGAGTTAACACACCGTTTTTTGGTTTATGGTGGATGTACGTCTTGAAAATACAATGATTATATTAGATGGCAATGTAAAACAAAAATATTGTTTACTATTCTAGGTATTTTATTGTATTTACTATTTCTAAGATTTCTAAAAATAAACAGATATTCAAAAGCATTAGACTTTGAATAATCACTCATCTTCAAAAATCCAATGCTAATTTTTATATTTTTAATGAGAAAGTTTTAACAAGTTTAAAGTAAAAAATAAATAAGGAATACTAAATTCAAGTAGAAATATAGAAAAAGGAGATATATTTAATTGATAAACATAAAATTATATTTTCATTGCCATTTTATAAAAAATAGTATTTTGCAAAATTCCCATTGAATCTATGAAATAAAATCTTCCTATTTTCTATAATTCTCATTTTATGAAATTCAGAAATATCCCAAAATATAAACTAAATGAAAATGTTTTATACCAAGAATTCTCAAATACAGCCATCAAAAAAAATTTGGCATGGCAATCAGATTAATTCTGAATGATTTTCAATCCAGTGAGTCAATTTTATATGTTTTCACTCACTTAATATCATCAAAATATCTGTCACATTTTGAACAGTTCTTAACTGAAATTCATCTTGGACAACAAAATCCTAAAAGTAAAAGAATATGGATGCCATTTCAAAAGATTTTTATTACATTTTCACAAAAGTGCAGCTATGAATTATTTTCTATGGTCTGAGCAACATAAAATGAACAAATTCGATAAAAAATTAAAAAAGAATGTATTAAAATGTTTCTAAACTCCAAGAAAACTATTCTATTCTCCAGTTCAATTATATTTGTAACAGCATAATATATTTTTAAAAGTAAAAATGATTTTAAATCATCCAAATTAATTCCATTTCATCATTCACAATTAATCTAAAATAGAAACTGATATATTATCTCCATTAGCAAATTATAACACAGTTGACTCACCTTAAAACAAATACAAATAAAGTGAATTCTCAAAGCAAATTTTGCCCTTGCCCTGGCAAAATGCCATTATCACAATGTTAATAAGCCAAACAATTGCCATATTTTAATCAGGCTACTTTACTATTAATAATTAAATTCTGAGTAATTTGGTACTAAAAGTTAAGTGTCATATCTTATTTAATTTAATAAGAGATGACACCTAATGCCTACCTCTTTGGTTTATTATTAAAAATTGGGCTTTGAGATGTCACAACATTAATTTTCCCACAATAAAGCAAACAAAAATTTTACTAGAATTCATTAAATCAAACTGTAAATTACCTTCACAACCCCCCAAGAAATAACTCTATTTCCAATAACGATTTTTACACTTTTCAACATGAACAATAAAAAGTGGTACTGTAATAAAGTAGTAATGTTCCATTTTGAATAGCATAGATTTTCTTCTCCTAATAAGCAAAGACAGGTCGATCTCCAATTGTAAAGCAATTCTAACATCTGGTTTTAGTGGACCATTCTACTATATTTAGAAAATAGGAGTTAAATTTTAAGGATGACCATCCCTTTAAATGGATGTAGTCCCATGAAAACATAAGCTAATTTGCATACAGGAAATGGATATAGTGATACCAGATTTGGCTACTTTGTGCCAAATTTGGCTCTTTTTTTACTCTTTTGTTACCAAAAAGTATTTTCTACTTTTTCAAACAATCCTCAATGGGGGGAAAAAAATCACAGATTTCTTTTTTTAGCTTTGTTTTTTTTTAACCACTCTGATACACCACTCTACACTTAAATGGCAAATACCACCTCTTCCTCATTTTGTTTGATTTTAAAATCATTTAGAACATTAATTTGTTTTTGTAAATAAATTTATTTAACTTTATTAATTAAATTAATTCAAAATATTATCATTTAGAGATTTCAATCAACTCCCTAAATTGTGTCATCATGACCTTGACCATGAAAATTGTTAATACAAATTTTTGATAAAGTGAACAATCTACTGTTCCCATGGCAATTCATATTAATGCAAGTTGACTGTTATCATAAAAATTTTAGAATTTTCTAAAGAAATCCAACTTTTGTATTTGTAGTTACTGTATTTACTCGTGTATAAGACAAGGTTTTTATTCATTTTTCACTGCTTCAAAAATCTAGATCGTCCTATATGTGCAAGTGAAGGATTCTTTGTATTTTTGCAATAATTTTGGTGAACCGTGCATAGTTCATGCTGCCATTATAGCAGGGTGCTGTCGAGGTCAAGGTGAATGGCGCTTTCAAAGAGATGGTCTAAAAATAGCTGGTCACTTAGCAATGATTATAAATGTAGTTATTTCATATTTGTTAAATTGGTATTTTTAATGAATATTTGCATATTCTGAATCATTAAAAATACTCTTTTCTGGTCAAGCACATTATAATCTTTTGGTTTTGCTACATGAATATCAGGTGCGTGGAAAAGCATTCCTCAAGAGCTGATAGCAGGAAATACTACATTTCAAATTCACTCAATGGATCAGAGGATGATGCTTTGTGGAATGAGAGTGAGAAAGAGGACAGTTGTAATGAAGCTTTGGAGGACGAGTCCAAGTAGACAAAAGGTGATAGTGTCAAGAAAACATGGTTGTTTGCCTTAATACAAGCATTTGATAATATTTCATTTGTGATTAAACAAAATAAAATTAGAATTGTATTAATAAATCTAATTTTCTTTATTTTGATCTTTAAAGTCACGCCTCGTCCTATATGCGAGATTGTCTTATATGTGAGTACATACTATATTTTATTTATAGAAAATAAAGTACTTTGATATTGAAGCATCAGAAAATTATTTCCTAACATTTCATTGTTATTTTGACTAATTACTTTTCAATCTAATAAACTGATGATATAAGTATAAATATCACTTACATGATGTTTGTTTGCAATTTTGCCTTAACTGATCAAGATGTGCTAAAGTTTGATCAACAGTTGGACCTTGTGATTTAGTAACTTGCTGCCTGAAAAAACAATAAAATTTTAATTATATAAAATTAAAATCATAAAATATCATAAAAACTATTTTATAAATTTATCTACACTTTTTTTTTGGTGAATGAAAAATAAGAAAAAAAACTGTAACTTTAAAATTCCATTTTCATAAACCTGTTTATTGTAGATTTCAAAATGCAATGTTTACCATCTAAATTAAATTATATCTTAATCCATATTAAATGATTATTAATTGCAATTAATGTCAAAATACAGAACAAACAAAACATGCATTTTTTAAAGTTTTTCAACTATTTTTAAAATAAGTAAATCACGTAATCAGTATCTCAATTAATTCAATCTGAACTTTTTTCTATTTTATTAACAAATAAAATGTTTGAAAATTTTCTAACGAACTATGACTAATCATTTAATAGTTGTTTCATTATATAGCAAACTAAGTAGGGAATAGACAAATAACTGAAAGAATAAACAGACATATTCATGTTATCAATTAAGGCAGTTAAATTAAAAATAGAATGATGACAAACAAAAAAAAATACATTTTGTTATTATAAAATTTGTCTTTTACCTTTTCCTTTTATTAGGAGTTAAACCAGATTTTGAAAGTTGAGACCCAATTAATTCAGCAAGTTTTTCTTCATGCTCTTGAGACCAATATTTTAAGACAGATACAACAAACTGATCATTTAATTTAACGTCCCTACACATGATGTGTTTCAGTAATTCTGCTGTTGGTCTAAAATTAAAAGAAATATTCATTAACAATATTTAAAACTTTTGTTATTTGTATATCAATGATAAATCATATAAAGAATGAAAAATAAATAATATTGTATTTGCTTTGTACATGCTAAATGATTTATGGATGATGATAAAAGTCTAAGCATTATACTGAAGATAAACTAATTTAGAGACTCCACTTGTACATGTGTAATAATTAGCTTTAAGCTACAAACAACCATGCACCACAGACAAACAAGAAATTATACAGATTTTAATTTTTAGAAAATCAAAGCAATTTTTCACACTCTAAATCAATCAACACGTTTACAAAAATAATTTAGAAATATTTATATTAAATGACTATATACCTGTTTCCCCGAAAATAAGACATCCGCAGAAAATAAGACCTAGCACAAATTTTGCTGAATTGCGAAATATAAGACCTCCCCCTGAAAGTAAGACCTAGCGAAGTTTTTTTTAGTCGTAACGGTCATCGACAGATGGTTGAAAGTGGCCGTTGGCTTTTTGAAAGTACAGCCACTGATTGGTCTGCAGACAGTTACGCCACACGGCATGATTTGCATAAGACTATGGCTTGGGAATCACAGATTTGCATAACGTTACGGCTGGTGATGGCTAATTGGTCAGCCGGGAATCACGCCACGTGGCATTTGCATAGTGCTACGGTTTAGTAAGCACTAATTGGTCATCGAGTCCGATGTTGACGCTATAAAAAGGCAACAGTTCGACACACCGGATATACGTCACTCTCGTCTAAGTTCGACTTGGGAATTTTTTTGTTCAATAATAAATGTGAATTCTTCTTCTTGGAAAAAATAAGACATTCCCTGAAAATAAGACCTAGCGCATTTTTCAGAGCAAAAATTAATATAAGACACTGTCTTATTTTCGGGGAAACACGGTATGAAGCATGCAATGCCATAACATTGTAAATGCTATTTTTCTCTAAATACATTTTATCGAAGAATTGAATTCTTTACATAATGTTTTCTGTTGCAAAAAAATATTGTGGCAATAGTGTCACTGTAAATGGTTGTATTTTGAAGCTGAATTTATATGAAGCCATTACGTTTAAAGTGCAAATAATGTGACTTTTGGCACTTAAACATTATGGCTTATATTTTCATCATTTTGATATTCCAGACAATTTGTAATCTAGTGAGTTTTTTTACCATTTTATTGTAAAATCGAAATGAATTCATTTACTAGATAAAGTGTTTTTTACCTCTCCCAAAAAGTTCGCTTTTTGGCATTTACAACATTATGGCATTACACATTTCACATACAGTTGCAAATAAGTTCATCACTATTTTAAGACAACTAAATATATTAGATGAAATCTGTTATATTTAGTGTTTTTGCTCTTGAATATTTAAAAAGTAAATGAATTCTGTTGTAAAATATTCTTTTACATTCAGTCCTAAAACTATTTATAAATATTCCAAAAATAATTTGTAATTAATGTGCTTTCAAAATTCAAGTCTATTAGTAATATTTTATATAAATTAGAATTTCATTAATAAAATTTTATATGAAATTTGATAAAGAATAAAAATTGCTTTCATAACATTTTTATAAATGGTAAGTAAATGGTAATGATAATATTTTAATCAACATAAAAACCTTTCCTAAAATATCACCTTAACATTAATAATTTCATTCATTTACTACTTATAATATTGTATATCATACACGTTGATAAGCATAAATTAAGAAAATGAGATATAAATTCAAATATTTAAATGAAACTTGCAATAAATTTAATCAAACTTTACATGAGATATACATTTTGACATAATTTATCAGTTTTGAAAAATATCACATAATCTAAACTTTTACTTTCCTTAACTATTTTAATACTGCTTTTAACTCTATTAATTTGATTATTATGTATATTGTTACTAATTCATGTAATTTAATACTGTAGGGCCATGGTTCTCAATCCGTGGTCTGTGGAACACAAGTGCTCTGTGAAGCCACTTCAAGTGTTCCACGAAAAAATCAAATATACAATAAAAAATTGTTGCAAAAGAAAAATCAATAGAATGTATAATAATTTTTGTATGGGAATATAATCTGCAAATGCCAATGATGTATACTAGACCAAGTGCACTCTTGATTTCAAAAAGGTTTGCCACCCATGCTTTAAAGCTGATGTAAGTGTTCCACAGAAAAAATTGTCAAAGTTTAGTGTTCCCCGACTTCAAAAAGATTGAGAACCATGGCTGTACGGTATATCACACATTTTAGCCCATTAATAATTTAATAATTAACATATAATATATCTATGGCCATTATACTAATGAGCATTTTAGCTTCCACTTAAGAGTCCTCTAGCCTTTTTGTTTTTTTTTTTTTGGGTCAATCTACAAACATTACATAAAACCCAATATCACATCAATTAATACATACTAAAATCTATTATAAAAAGAAAGACATTATTTCTAATATATAATAAGTTACAATTTTATAACTTACATAGAACAAATATAGAATTTATTAATTTTTCTTCCAGAAACTAAAAATGTATCACTGTTTTTATAATGCATCCTCTTGTCATTATGGTTAGAAATGCATGATCTACATTTCCAGTGCACTTTTTTCTTTTGTTTTTGACAATTCAAATCATATCTACATTTTTTTGTTCATAGCAATGATAAAAAAATGCAGATATGATTTGAGAATTGGAGTTGTCAAAACAGCAATCATCAAGCAATGAAAAATCTTCAGATGATTTTGGTCATTGAAAACTTAAATCAACCAAACCAATTCTCTCAAAATAATTCCTTTGGGATAAAAAAAAGGCCCAGCAATGTCCAGAATTATTTCTTCTAACATTTTACTTGAATGAGTAGGATCCAAATATGGAGTAGCAACTAAAACTCCCACACAGTCTTGGGATTTATTCATTTAATCTTTCATGCTAAAGTCATCCTATGCACAAACCATAAAGAAAGAATACTGTCTAAAAAAATTTCAATAGCAGATGTTGGGTTGTATGACTGAATGCAATCATCAGAATATTTTTGGTTGCTGGAGTTGAAAGAAATTAAAATGTTCCAATTCATAAACAATTTCTTAGTAAAATGTTTATGAATTGGTACATATATCATGTCTGTAGAAATATTTGAAAAATTTGAAAGTATTTGATTTGATGACAAAAAACAAGAGCAGAGCATCACTAATCTGATTAATTGGTGGCATTGTCATACATCTGAAATCGTTTTATATGAAACTGATAGAATTGTTTGATTCCAAAAATTTTGTAATTGGTAAACAGTTGATCCCACATTTTGTAATAGATGTCCATTCATATAAAGCATGAAAAGCAAGCTAGAAAATTATGGAATCAAAGTGTGAAATTCATCACATGCAACTCAAATTAGTTGAACATGATAGCAATGCTTATTTAGAATTGCTGATGCAGCTCCATATAAAACAATATAACAAAATAAACCAGATATACCACTGTGTTTCAAGCAAATGAGAGAGAAAACCAGTTCACTTCTTCATACATGGATTAAATGATAACATGACATTAGTTAGTTATGTTCCAAAAAAGAAGAAAACAGTTATTTTTTAAGCAAAATACTCGTACATCAAACAGCTGAAATCAGTAAAGACAGAAAGAAAATCTCAGATATCTGTATATAGTCAAAGATTCTCTAATAATAATAATAATAATAAACAATGCTTTACAACTTTAATTTAGATAGAGTTAGATAACCTAATAAAGAGGATTTTAACAATTTTGGAGGGTTTATCACACCAAGGCTGACCAAAAATAGACCAGTTCTTTTACAAAAAAATTAGTCTTTAATAAATTTCCTTCAAATTTATGAAAGGAGGCATTTCAGATGCAAGTATCCCTCATCAGCTTACAAATACATAGTACCAACTTAGCATACATACAATTAAAATGCTAATAGTTAACCAATACAAAGGAATTTTTTATCTATACAGTGCATTGTATTTACAACAATTAATACAACCCATATACTAAAGAACTAAAAACTATCAAACATAAAATTTTTTTATATTAATGTGATATATCACATTATCTGGGACCAGTAAATGTCTTATTTTCTCCCACATTTTCCAAATTCTGGTAAATGGTTCCACTATTAATAATAAAATATTGTTAAATATATTAAAATCAAAAGGGAGGGAAACTAACAATGAACTTACAATTATTAAAATAATTGGTTTCCAGACCTTAAACAAAATAAATACACCAAATCCATAAGACTGTGTGAAACCAACTGCCTTGTTACAATTTTCATTTTACAATGTGATGTGACTTTACTCCCACATCTGTTCAACATCTGTTTCAAGGCTATGTAAAAACAATGTCATTCCACCCCTCATGTAGCTTCAGTCCCACATTGTTATTAATTCTAATGTTTTCCTGTATTTTCAGAATTTCTGTGTGTTCCTGTAGTCTTCTGTAGTCAGAATATTCTGATCTATTTTTTGGTCAGCCTTGGTATGATAAGCCCTCCAGAATTGTTAAAATCCTATTTGTTAGGTTATCTAACTCTATCTAAATCAAAGATTCTCTATTGACAACATATAATGAAGTGAAAGCATTAATCATAATAACTGCCCATACTGTTGTTCCTTTACTTCTGAAATGCTCTCTTTGTATTGAAGAGAAAAATCAGATGCCAATTTCTTTCCAGATGAATTAGTATCAAAACTAATTTGTTAACAAAAATTTTGGATCATCTGTGATGAGAACATTTTCCCATTATTCAGGTGGCTGATTCTGATGCTGTCTGTCTATTCCATTCCAATTGAGCTCTTATGGATATAGGTTAATGGGGTAGAGATTACAAATTTCTTGGCTTAATGATCTCCTTCAAAAAGGTTTCTAGCTATAGTCTACCTTGATACTCATCTTACTGACAAAAAGATACAAGTTCCAAAAAAAGCTGAAAAACTGTCATGTATCTATTGAATTTTGCAGGTAGAACTGTGTACCAGTCATCCTCAATGGTGTACATCATGTTCAATCTTCAGATGTCCATCTAGCACAGCACATGTTACTGTCTATTGAAACTGATTATAACAAATCATAACCAAATTTAATTAATTAACATCACAAAATTTGCCTGATAGCATATTTTTGCAAATTGTTTGAAACTGATAATCTTAAAAGGGCATTTTCAGACAAATTAAAAATTCTAGCAACCTCTGCTTAGTTTTCACTAGCTTCCAATCTGCCAATGGCTCTTCATCTTATTATACAAATATTATCATAAAGGCATCTTGAACAAAAATTTTGTCTTCAGCAATAGCATTATTGTTAAATCAGAAATTAAAAGGAGTGTTTGGAGAGCTCTTTTAAAGTTGTTCTTACTTTGTATAGATAGTTCTATATCAGAATATTTCCAGGTTTCACTAGTCAATGGATTATAATATATGTGCACACTATTTTGATTAAAAACAAATTTCATTTTTAAAACAATTAAAGCATGGAACATTCTTAATTTATGCACACTATTATTATATATAGCAGGTCTGTTATATAGTATGTATATAAATTATAATTTACAAGCTACAGATGTTTTAATCATTATGTATTTGAAATAAAGTTTTAAACAATAACTAATACTTACTTCTCTTGTTTTAATAACAGCAATATACTTGTAAGTGCTTCAGCATGCGCTGTAAGAATTAATAAATTTATAAGATTTGAATTTCATATGATTAAATAATAAAATATGCAATGATCAGATATAAAATTATGCCATTGTAGATAGAAATTAAAATATTTGTTCATGTAATATTAAATATTATATTTCAAATGACTTATTTGATGAAAAGACAAATATCATATTAAATTCATTCAATCAGACAAATCATTAAATTCATATAAATAAAACTATATTTTCTCAAGCTTTGATTTTTAAAATAATTCACTTAAAAATTAAAGCATAGAAAAACCTCATAAATATTGATAGAATGAAAGTATGTTAAATAGATCATATTAAACACTGAATGACTGACAATTGAATAAATCTGTTATAATTTGGTACATTTGTGTAATGACACAAATGTATTAATCAAAATTATCACCTTTTTACAAATTCCAGCAAATAATTTAATATGAGGTTTATTTAAAAGGTGATAATTTTGATTAATTCTTTCTAGTTCCAGTACAAGTTATTATTTTTATTTATTGGACACAAATGTACCAAAATTGTTTGAATTTATGTTTTTTATATATATATATAACAATTTCTACTTAGCTATTAGGTATTTATCTTTTTCTACCATTTGTGTTTTCATTGCATTAAACACTTTATAAAAACAATTTTTTAATCATATATTTAAAACTATAATTGCTTAATAAATAAAAAAGACATTACTATAACCAAAACTGGAATAAAGCAGTACTACATGATAACTCTAAATTTTAATTTGTCAGCTGAAAATGTATGAAAGTCCAAATTTTACATATAAAAAAAGCAATTTAGTAGTATCAAAGTATCATGTGTGAAAAAGCAAGTTGTCCAAAAGCAGAATATCCAAAAGTCAAGGATCACATATACTACTAATATAGAGAATGTTGTAGCACGAAATGTTATGATCAATGTCACGTATTATCAAAATAAATTAGTAGCAGTTAAATAGACATAATTAATTTATAGAAGTTGAACTTTTGTTGTACTGCAGATTGCAATCAGATATCAAATCAAGTTAACCACAGTACCTTTTTCAATGATAAAATGAATTAATACTATAAATATAGCGTATGTTCATAAAGTCAAATGAGTTAAATGAGAATGACATCATTGTTATTTTTATTTCATTAGACTTTTCGAATGATTTGTTTATAACTAAATGGATGTTTCTAAAATTGAAGATATGAATGTTACTAGTGCAGCCTTATCCGAAATATTTTTCTTAGATTGCTTCAGGTGGACAGTTATTTCAATCATTTCACCTTTTAATTCACAATTTAAACATTCAAGTAGATTTAGAAACATTGATATCGTCAGGCACCATTTTCTTAACGAAGTAAACTAACTCTTTCCCTTGTGAGCTTCGTTACAGTTTCATTCAAAACATCATCACCACAGAGCATGCGCACTGAGTGAGACTACTACTTTTTGAATGATTCATTACTAACGCATTTAACTCGTTTGACTTTACGAACGTACCTATAAACATACATATTCATGTTATGTTATGAAACATTTTTTAAACTTTTGGTATGTCATTAAAAATTCTGTAATTAAATTGCTAATTTTATTGTCATTATTAATTTCATAATTATTTTTGCTTTAAAAAAATAAATAATTTGAGTTGAATAAAGTATGGTAGATAATGTTATTTAATATTATACTGTCAAAACACATTATTATTTAATAATTTAAACTTACCTTGAAATTCTAATTTTGGTAATATCGGAAGTATATAATCAAGAGGAATATTGTGAGCAGCAATTAATTGCCACAAACAAAACTGTTCGAAAGATTCCCATTCTAAACTGGCATCTATATGAAACAAATCATTAATATAAGAATAAATCATTTTTAAAGCAATTTAAAAAATGTTAAAATAAAAAATAATATGTATACTTTTCTAATTATATTTTCTAATTACTTTTCTAATAATATATTTTTATTTTGAATACTGATTTGACTGAGGAAAATAACTTGGAAAAATCAGTTTTCTAACATTTCCTGATAAGCAAAACTGTCAAGTATCATGTGATATAGAGTGCCCAGAACTCAGCAGTAGTGCATTAGCAAGCATGACAGCTTCAAAATGTGGTACCGATGGATATAATGAAATCACGTCTATTTTGTACAACCAGTACGAATTAGTAGGAAGGTTACTTAGTGTAGTCACTATGTCAAGTATCAATATAATATTAGAGTCACATACTAATATTAAATTTACATGTAACATTTTACAGAGAAATCTTTGATTAGAATATTATTATTAATGCTTGTTTTAAATCTGAAGATATTTTATATTAGAAAAGGATTGAAAAATTTTAACATTCTATTGTATAACAAATATAACCAAATTATCATAGATTAAAAATATAAATAAAAGAATTATAGTTACATCAGCTTAATGATTTTTCTTTTTCTGAATTTAAATTTTAAATAAATCAGTATTAAAAAAATTTAGAATATTGAATTTCAAATATTTACAACCATAACATAGTATTTATAAAATACACTTATGCAATTCAATCAGCCCAATCATATTTGTTTTAAGAGGAAAACTTTTCATATTTTTACTGTTTTCTTCTAATTACATACTTATCAGATGATCGTTGACATAATAATTACCTATTTAATGTATCTTTACTAGTATTTTTTAACACAATTTAGTAAATAGTAAATTTCTACATTAAAGTAAATTAAATATATTCATTTATTCTATAATATTAAGAAAACAATTTAAACTCTAAAACAAACTTAAAGATAAATTTTCCTTTATATTTTAATTTAATGATATAAGACAGAACTTACTTAAAACAGATAAAAACGAGTCTTTGCGAAACATTACCATATTGCCTTGAAGAATATGACAAACAAGATCTTGAAGCTATATTTTATAACAAAAATAAATCATTTGATTACTTAACTGAAATGAAAAACATAATACAGCAAACATTTATTATGTAAATAGTCAACATATTAAAATAAAATGCAATTTAACATAAAATTTAAACTGAAACTTCATGAAAAGATATAAATTAAATATATAATTTTTAAATATTAAATACATAATAAAAATACTAAACAATTTTTAAATATAAATTTGTTATCTTATTTATTTATTCTTGAAATATTTTTAAAAAATCATAAAAGTTTGACGATAAGATTTAAATTTTATACATTTAGGAATAAATGTATACTGCCACAAAGCAGCTATTCTGTCCATTGGAGGTCAAGCCAACATTTTATAAACTGTTATAAAGAAAGAACCACTTCTAAACAATTCTGTTCCAGTTCTTTTCAGAAATAATCTCCACTTGATGGTTTTCTTGTTTTCAAACCTCAAAAATGTTTACTTAACAATTAGGTATATCTTATCTAGTTTGAGTGTTTAAGCATTTAACTTGTTTTGTTAACTTCAATAAATTGTTTTTTATGAGAAATCATCTTGTATGCTTTATTTGCAACAACATAAATTAATTCATAAACATTTTCATTTGTAGAATTTTGTATAAACAAAATTATATTATGATTTTGATTTTTCTAAATACATAAAAATTCTAACTACTTTAAAAGAGTTATTTTAAATTATACTTTATACAATTTCTTCCAAGTCTATTAAAGTTAAACAATAAAGGAGTCACTAAAATTAAATAGTAATAAAATTTTACTTTTAAATATATTTTCTATATAAATGCCTGATTAAATATTATTTTTATTATTATTCTATTCAAACAAAAACATTCAATAATTAATTAAAAATTATTCCTATTATCAATATTAGTAACAGAAATAATTAATATTAATTTTTAAAATTTTATAAAAATCAAAACACATTTATTTTAGTATACAATAGAGCATCAATTATCCGAATACCAATCAACTGAAACATTGGTTAACCAAGAGCGTTCCAGATGGCAAATTCAAATTTCCACTAGTGCTGTGGCATTGCAGCACTCTCCCTCTTCCTGCCAACCTGAACTGAAGGCCTAGTTTAATACAGTAATACCTCGACTTACGCTACCCCGACTTACGCGAACTTGGAGTTATGCGATTTTCAAATCTCGTCGATTCCTCTTTTGTTTGAGTGCCACGCAACTCTCGATTACTCACTCCCCCCACACTATTGTTTGGCTTACATGTTCCGATACGTGTTGCGCGGAATCGACATATAACTACAATTTATTTTGTGTTATTTATTTCTGTGTTTGTTATATCTATTGAGACTCAAGAAACTCTATTATGTCATCCAAACGAAGTAGAACTGATTATTCTACATCAAACAAGAAAAAACTTTATCTTTAGAATGTAAAGTTAACATTATTAACTTCGATACAAAAATGAAAATTTGTGAATTGGCAAAGAAGTTTGATCTACCAGAATTGACGGTCAGAACAATTATAAAAGGTAAAGATAAAACTCTTGAAGCTGTGAAAAATGCTCAATCTTTAAATTCAAGCATCATTCGTAAATGTCACAGTATTATCCCTGAGATGGAATTGATGTTAAAATTATGGTGTGATAATTAAGTAAATCTGAAAAATTGTATAATAATATAATTTGTTATACATATATATTATCTAAGATTTTATTAAACATTTTTTTTCTAAATTATTGTTTTTTTAGTCTCCAGCCCCAATTAAACATTATTTGTATGTATTTATATGCAAAATTATACCCCGACTTACGCAAATTCGACTTACGCGGTTATCGCTTGGTCCCACATATCGCATAAGTTCGGGGTATTACTGTATACTAAATTATGTAAGGTGTGTATTTGTAAGGCATTTGATACAAATTACATACAGTACAGTTTAGTGTTTAATATATTTTTTTGTAAATGATCAGTTATCCGAACAACCCAGTCCTGAATTGTTTCAGATAATCAATGCTCTACTGTATATTTTATTTTTACAATCCTATATTTATTTACCTGAGTTGGATCTATACAGGATACAATAAGATTTAACAATTCAGCATTTCCAATGGCAATATTTGGAAACTATATTTTAAAGAATAAAAATAATTCAAAATCTTTAAATTTAAGACAAAAAATAATTATTTAAAAATATATTTACAATTTTTTTTAATACCATACAATAACTGAATATAAATATTTTTATATAATCTAAAAAAACATCCCTAGAACTGTATTTTCTAAATAAGTGAAACAAAGTAATCATTTTTCTCACTTTTAAAACCAAATTATACTTTTAAATATTTGTAATTTAATTAATAAGATCTAAATTGTAATGTTAATTTTTAGACTAGTGATATATAAATTTTGGTAGAAACTTAAAAGTCGTTATAAACTTTTACTATTGGATTGCATAAATGTATTCCTAGACAAGCAATCATTAACTGAGCTGCTCACTTGCCAAATCGATTAACTCCAAAAAAGTAGGAAAATTGATAATATAAATTATTTTAAAAAATTCTTTTTAAACTTTAAATTTAAACAAACATTGTAGAATGTATTCATATATACCGTTATATTAAAGCATAGCTTTAATGTAATGATATATAAAATTAGTTACGTGAAAAATGTATTAATAACAACAACGATTACATCAAGGATTTACAAATGGAGTTAATTGATTTGGCCTGTGAATGGCTCAATTCTTAATCTGACTGAAAAATAATTAGCAGATAATAGAGCCAACAATATAATTATTAGTTCAAGGTCAAACCAAAACATTTTGCATTTGATTATAAACCAATGATGAGAAGAAAATCTAGAAAATGTTTTTCTGTTGAATTAAATTTAACTTTTAATTTTAATAAGCTAATTCTACCTATTTTTTATTAAAGATATAAAGTTTCTATGGTATCTGATTCCAATGATAAAAATGGAAATTTATTCAATGCAAATGAAAAAACATAAATTATTTGAATCTATGTACCTATCTATCGATTTAGGTGTCCATAAATGTTCTTTTCTTTTTTTATACGTGGGGGACCCAAAAATAACTGGATTTTTTGTATAAAAACTTTATTTATTAACTTTTTTACAAAATTTCTTCAGTCACCTTCAAAAGTACACTCAATTAGATGCGATGCACTTGTCAAGTCTTTTTCCCACTGTTTGAAGCATCTCTGGAACTCTTCAACCTTGATATCATCCAGAGCCCTTAGCGAAGCTGTTTTTACCGCCTCCACATCTTCAAAACGCTTCCCTTTTAGATTTTTCTTCATTCTCAAAAACAGAAAAAAGTCACACGGGGGCTAGGTCTGGTGAATACGGAGGGTAGGGAATGACAGGCCATCCCTGAGAAACCAAATAGTGAGTCACTCGTAAGGCCGTGTGTGCAGGGGCATTGTCGTGATGAAGGAACCAGTCACCTGATCGCCAAAGTTTTGGACATTTCCTTCGCACATCCTCTCGCAGACATCTTAACACTTTTTTGGCAGATTTTTTCAATGTTTTCATCGTTTCAAGATGTTGAAGGACTCCCAGAACTTTGCAGGTGAAACAAAATAACAGTAAGAGAAACACAACACTACACTCAAATCTAAAACCTACAAACAGCTGTGCAAACAGTGTCAGTTTGACCTTCACAAAACAGCTGTTTTGTGAAGATCTCTACTAACCCCATGTAATGGGAGAACTCTCTACTATGTCTACGAATAGCAGCGCGCTCTCAGTTCAGTTTTTTTGGGGTCCCCCTCGTATGTTATTATTCAGCACTGCTATACAGTAAACTTAAGAAATACAATAAGTAAACTGAAAAAGCAGCTCAAAGAATTGTTACTACAATATGTTATAAAGATGCTTTTCTGTAATGTATTTAGATTGTGGCAATGAATGACAAAAAAAATTTCCAACTTTGTATTTAAGTAATTAAACATAATTTGATTATTAGAAATAAAAACAAAATTTCTGTCAAAAATTAGCTTAGTCAATGAACTGTTTCTTTAAGATAATTAGTAGCATTTTCACATTTCTTACAAAAATTTTATACCAAAGACCTAAATTATATTTGATACTAAAATATGGTATAAATTATGTATATTTTAGATTATAAAAATATAAATTCTTTACAAAAGTTTGCTGTAACCAAAACTTTAAATAATTACCTGAGTGTAAATGTCTGGTATAATATAACAAAACATCCTAACATCATCCTCCTGACATAACTGAAATATTTAAATATATTTTTTAAATATTTAAATTTAAAATTACATAATATTTTAAAGTCATTGCAAAATTATTTACCCTTAAATCACTAAGTAAACATGTAGCTAAATCTTTTGATTCCAAACTTTTTACATAATCCCTATAGGATGACATTCTATTATCTTGAACTTTGCTTGCTTTAAGAAAATATAAAAGAAGATATCCTAAACGCTGTTGATGCGTCGTCATTTCTGCTAAAATCATTAAAAGAGGTTGTCTACTAGGATCCTCTTCAGGAGTTTGACAAAGATTTCTAATAAAAATTTAGAGAGATATTATCTTTTAATATTAAGTAAATATTGTATTATATTTGCTTATTTTATATTAAAATAATAATATAAAAAATAAACGATTATAAATATATTTTAAAATGTCTATTTATTAGCTTTGTTTATCTGTGTAGTAATTTCATAAGCATTGCAGCAACTACTCCCTACACCATATTATTAGTACTGCATTTACAAGAATCTTAATTTAATCAATTACATTCTATGTATTTCGTAAGAATATTACAGATCAAGTTAGAATTTAGGATAAATTGTAATGCCAATTAATTCAATTAATCAGAATACAATTATAATAATCCATATAAAAACTCAAAAATTTCTTAGTCAAACTAACAAATTATTATTAAACAATATCTAGTAATAAATTATTTTCTTTATAAAATTATGTAGAAACAAGACTATGCACACAATTGTAACTCCCCATTTAAAAATAATTAAAAAATTGAATAAAAGAATTAATCAAAAAATATTTAACCTATAATGTAAAACTAAATATTTATACAAAAAAATTACAAAATAATACAAAAAAATGTCTTCAAACTTATATTGTAAATATTAATAAACTATGTTATGAAAAAATTCTTTTTAAACCCCACTCTTTTAAAAATCTTGTGCATAAGCCTGGACAGAAATAAAATCTATTAGAAAATAAGAGATACAAATTTGAGCATATGGTTAATCAAACTACCAAGGTTTCCTGCACATAACTCACAGTGTCATATAATCCATACTAACATACAATCCACATCAAATTGCTCGAAAGGAAATTAAAACCTTCACACAAAGCATATCACAATATATACTGCATTTCCTAAACGGCCATTGAAAACATGACATTTACTGGTATAATATAATATAGAAAGTATAATCTCAAATACTTTTTGTTTCTTGTTTCTTTCATTTTATTTACATTACTATTACATACAGTATGTTAACAATAACATTGGTAAACTCCAGAAGGTAATAGCACATCAAACAGTAAGTGTAATTAGGAGAAAAGCTAGTATCCCAAAATGTTGTTTTCAAAATATAGGGGTTAAGAATTTTGGGATACTAGCTTTATTTTCTAATTACACTTAAATTTAGCAAGAGATGGCACTTAACACCTGTATCTAGTACCAAATTACTTAGCATTTAATTAATAATAGTAATGAAATATAGTCTGATATAATTTGGCAATTGTTTGACTTTAATTACACTTATTTTTTGATGTTCTATCATCTCCTAAAGTATGGCTAGTCTTATCATTAACATCCTGTAGATGTAGTGGTAAAGTGAACAGAACAAATGAAATATTTGAGACAGAATCAATTAAATTGCATTATGACAAAAATATAAAATGGAAATGATACAAAAAATTTTTTTATTGTTTTACTTTATTTATCAAATAATATAAAAAATAAATAAAAATATACATTGATTATAATAATGACAACTTAATATCTTTTGCATCAATAAAATTAATGTCCATCAATTCCAAAAAGCAGTATTGCTAAGAACTGCTTACATCTTATATCATTAATTGTGAACATCTTAAATTTTTGGTAAGAACCCAATATTCAGTATTATTTGTGTTAAATCTTTATAAGATAAAATTAACATTCTAATAAATTATATATTACAATACTTGAAAATAAACTTACCGAAACATCACAAATAAAGGTGTTCCCATCGAATCTTCTAACGTTCTATAATATAAATAAATCAAATTATGGTTCTATACTGTGCCTAAAAATACAACTATATTAATGAAAAAACTGAAGAAGTTTGTCATAATAATGATAATTATTCAATATATTACCTAAATAATCTATAACATACACGAAATGAGACATGCGAAATTTAGAATTTAAATTATATAATAAATAAAAAAATTATTAGGTTTATCAAAATTATAAAAATTTTCAGAAAATAATCATTATTTAATAGGTATTTATTTCTGTAAAATAATGATTTATTTCAGATAATTTATTTCTAAAACTATTTTAGAATTATACAAAATTTTAATAATAAGTAAACTTTGTTAATTGAACTGTATTTAAATGCATCTTGTAATCTTATAAATAAAATACCATATTCTAATAAATAGCACAGTTGCAAGCTGAAAAAAGTTATAGGCAGTGTACTGTTTATTAGAATAAATACAGCATATAAATTTCTCAATTTTCTAAAAATACTTGAATATATATTTAATAAATATAAATATTGATTTTTGTTATTATTATATCATATACATTATTTTTATTGGTGTCTGACAAAAATTTAAATCTAACAACTTTTTCTCTCCGTTACATCTGATTATTTTCTAAATTTTTGATGCAACAGATCAAATCAGATTTATTATATCAAAAATTTCACTGCATTTTCTAATTATTTTTAGCATAATCATATATCAAACACAAAAGACTAAAAGAAACTGAAAAACAATTGACAAATTATTATTAGTTATTAAAATGTGTTGTTATTAAATTGTAAGTAATGATTTATGATTTTCAGTACAATTTCTGAATCAAAGTTTCTGCTCATTTACAATAATTTAAACTTTAGCATTGTCTTTACTAACTTTACATTTTCTCTAAATTTTATTCACTAATTGGATCAAAACTTATTAAATTTTTCAGTTACACATTAAAATATATACATCTAACTCATCAAAGATACTCTCTATTCATGTCAATTTATAAATCTCACTAATTTTTATTTATATACACTTTTTAAATACAAACCTCACTTTATTCATTTCCATTCAGAATTTTAATTAAAATAAATTGATTGATTGATTAGTTGACATTTTGCACTAGTACATTAATATACTAGTGCACTGTGTTAAAATTGTGGCTACATATTCAGCCACAGTTTTGTACTTATAGATAGGTTTGATTCACAATGGAGTCAGCTAGTGTAAATGAGAAATGAATGAAAACTTTCTTTATAAAATAAAATGCTTTTACAAAATGTAGAAAACAAATCTACTGTATTTCCTTGATTAAACCCCAAAGGACTTATTTTAAAAATCTAAGTATTCCTGGGGTTTAATTGAAGTTCTCGGGGTTTATTATCTTGAAATAGAAAACAAATAGATAAAAATTAAAAGAAAAGTAGCCTAATTACTCATTCATTTTTAAAACTATCAAAACCATTTATTGATTGTAATTGTGAGTTACAGCTACATATTTGAAATAATTAGCTTTCATAGTTAACCTGATTCAGTAATTTCTTATTTGAGAGTTGTGTTGTCATTTGTGTCTGCTTCAATGTTGTTGTCAGAGTCAGGATTTTAACTATCATGAACTTGATGTAACTTTCCTATGCTCAATATTCGACAATAATTATAATTTTATTTCCAAAAATGTTCCATGAACCTCAGAATAGAAAGTACTTATTTTAGGGTTTATTTGAGACAATGGTTTATTTTTAGCAACATCTTTATTCTCCAATTTATTCAAAGACTGGGGTTTATTTGAATCCAAGAGTCCTGGAGTTTAATCAAGGAAAATGGTGTGACGTTTTCTTATTCACAATTATTTACAATTTACAAATGTTACATTCAAAACAAATGCTCAAAAATCAAACCTTGATCTCCAATACTCTATATACTTTACAATTGAGTCATCTGAACTTTATGTTGCTTTGACTTACATCCTTATCACTATCAGTATGTCCTACATCTGTTTCCAGATGCTGTAATGAGATTCAAATTTTGTTTCCTAGTTACATAATGGCTACATCACTAACTCAAAGAAACAACATGTGATGTGTCAGATATGAGTTGTAAAGTGTACTGGAGTTCAAGATTTGATTTTTGAGCATTTGTTTTGAATATAACACAAGTGTTATTCATTATTATTGACATTCTATTACATTCAAACTTGTGAGCAACTTTGATACAGTTGTATCTCTGAAACTACTGAAAATAATACCCATGTTCGTGAAAATTTTTTGCTTACAATGACCTGTACTTTTGTTTTCCCAAGATATTTCCTTCTCCTCCTGAGTCATCCTATATATACAGTATTTAATATACTTAAATTTCAAACCATACTTTTATAATAGAAAGGAATTGATCAAACAGGCTATTATTATTCAGATATGACAATGCATGAACATAGTTTGTGAAATAGCTCTGTCTAAAGTGAAATATTCTAAAAAATATTAAATATTCAGAAAAATGGAAGGAAAATAAGTTTTCTAGTAAAAATATGTATTCAGTGAGGTATCTTAAAAGTAATGTGAAAAATGTAATTTAAAATAAAAAAGTCTGAATTTTAAATAAATTTACATTTCAAATTTTGAAAATAATTTCAATAATATTTATTCCTTTGTCTATAGTGAATTTTGTAAAGTTAAGAAAGAAGAGATGAATACCATATTTAGATTTTATTCAGTATGAATAAAATCTAATCAAAATTCTAATGACACTGACATCAAACTACTGTAATTGGCAAGTCATATTCTTATCAAACTGAATATTTAACAGGTTTGGCTGGTATAGATAAAAATAAAAGTTACTTTTTCTCTAATAAAAAGTTTAAATAATTTGAAATTATAAGATACTAACTCATCATCCATCTCCTGAGGAAATATTTTTCGAACAAATTCTTCATTTAGAATTTGTGCTAAACAGAGTCCCAAAGTAGATGCAGAATCTTGATCAAAATCTTCCTACAAATAAAAAATAAATAAACTTATAACAAACATTATATTTAATTAGAAAATAGCATCATCAAAATAAAATCTATAAATATTAAAAAGTATTTTAATTATAAGAAAATATCTTCAAATTAAATTATTAAAAATTTTTTTAAATGTTCATTCAGCATTAAAAAAATTATAAATGAAGTAAGTTTATATTTTATTAATTTATAAAACTTTTAAAAACTGATATCTAAATATTTTTCTATTTTGAATAATGCAATGATTGTATACTCCAGTTTTCACATGTATATAAATGTTAAAACCATATGAACTTTTAATCATTTTTAAATTACATTTTAATTAATTATTCATTAAAAAAATAGAATACTTTACTATGAAAAATATTAACTATTCATAATAATTAATTTCAAATTTGAATTTGTTTTTACAGCAACACTTTGCATTTTTATGATTGTATATTATAAATGATATTATGAATTATATATATATAATTCATAATATCATTTATAATATCCCATTTTGATTTCCCATCGTCTAGGTGTACTCTATCTCTCCTGAAAGTTTGTAACCACTGTACTGATACACCCTGTATATATTCATACAGATACCCAAAATAATCATAATTATTTTTTAAACAGTTGTATTTAGTCCCCTTCAAAGTATTATCCACCAGTGTCATTGAACTCATCCCAACATTTTACTCACTGCTGGAAACATTCTGGAACCCTTGACCCAGAATACTGTTCAAGGCTCTTGACATATTTGCTTTCACCTCATCCACATCACTGAACCACTTTCCTTTGAGAACTTTCTTTAGAAAAAAGTCACAAGGAGCAAAATCCAGTCAGTAGGGTGGGTGGGACACAAGCACTATGCTGTTCTTTGTCAAGAGCTGTTGGATAGATAGAGCCATGTGGACCAGAGCATTGTAATGGTAAAGGAACCAATCTCCACAATTCCGGCCATTTCTACTAAATGTTCTCATTCAGTCTTTTCAAAACATTAAGATAAAAATATTGGTTCACTGTTTGTCCTGGAAGAACAAATTCCTTGTGCACAATCTCATTCACATCAAAGAAATAAATTAACATAGTCTTGAAGTTTTCTAATCAATTTTGATGTGCTTTCTTGGGTCTTGGTGAATTTGAATGTTTCTACTGGCTTAATGCTTATTTTGTTTCTGGGTGGTATACACAGAACCAAGATTCATCCCCAGTTACAATCACTGTAAAGAAATTTGTATCATTATGCAGTTCCTGCTTCAAGTCATGGAAAAGTTTTGTTTTGTTTTTCTTTTGTCTTTCTGCTCCTGTGTGAGCATGAGGCACAAATTTGGGAGATATCCAACTAATTCTCAACTCTTCTGATAAAATTTGCTGGCAGGTACTCCATGACAAATTTTTTCTTCAGACATTTGGTCAATGGTATTTTGACAATCTTGATTAATGGCCTGTCAAACTTTTTTGATGTTTTCCTCATTTCTGCTCATTGAAGTATGGTCAGATTGTGACATGTCTTCAGTTGACAAGATGCATTTTTGAATCAAAGAAAACCACTCATAAACTTGTGATCTGCTCAAAGCATTGCTCTTAAGGGTCGAGTTATAAACTCTGTAATGTAACCGTATCCGTAAATGTTTGCTACACTAGATATCTATAGCAACAGTTATAAACTACCGTAAAGCCTTTTCCGTAACAAACTATTTTACAGTTTACGAAGCAGTCCATTGTGAGCATGTGCAAAATCATCGGTAGTTATTGCTAGATCTAACACTATAATTATTTATTCATTTTATTATTTTTCTATTTTTTTTTTATGACCAAAGTAATTCTTATCTTAAAATTTTATATTATTCAGAAGCAGCATTGTCGGTCAAAAGTTATGTTTCCATCAATTTATCAAAGTTTCGTTGGTTGCTTCCGGCACAACTTCCGATTGTACATCAACTGATGGCAACTTAGCGCACGTGCAGTTGGTCAATTCTCTGTATCCCTACCGTAAAAGTTTGATCAATCCAAACTTTTCTTACGGAGTATGGTACAGCCATACGGTTAGTTACGGAGTTTATAACTTGACCCTAAAGGTTTGCCAAAGTACAACAACAGTCTCAGCTGCAATTTTCTCCAACAAAAAACTCTTTGTTCCTTGTGGTCATGCAACATAATAATTAATGGATGCTGCAAGTAAGACACACACAAAGCAGCAACAAGGCAAAACCACTTCACACAGACTAATGCCATAAGGCAGACTAGGATGGGAAACTCCAGGCTAACAACACCTAACAGCACAATCTGTAATGACAAAATGCTTGCATGTTCTGTTGCAATTCCAGTTATTTTTGGGTACCCCACATACATACTTACATACATACATACATACATACATACATACATACATACATACAAATTACATTTGTGAAAATACAAACGATGTTTTTATTTTCACACTAACTGCGTAGTTAGTGAGGGTGACTTTCGTTGTCCGAAGGTCATCGACGAGGGACCACGATGTCACGTGACCCCCTTACATCCGAGCGACCGGACAATAAAGATGACCATATAAAGAAATAAGTTTTTCGACGGCGCGGTAATAAATCAGGGAGAACTGTCAAAAGACGTCAACAATTCTCAGATTTTTCCCACGCTGATCGGGTATATAAAGGGGTCGGATTTTCTACTCGGGGCGCTGAGCCAGGGCACTTAAGCCGAAGAAACCCCTCTGCAAACCTCAAGAGCGATCGTCGGAGAAGAAACATCGACGCACGATCTTCCAGCACTCTCAGGATCTACGAAGCTCATAATCGCCGCTCCATGCAAAGGTAAAAACTTTGAATATTTTTTTATTCTCCTGATACAACGGAATTACTCCTCGAAGAGGTTAACAGAAGAAACCTCCGAGCAAACTTCACCAAGAAGAACTCTCTACTGATTAGGAGTGACGGAGCATACACCGTAACCAGACATAGCCGCACGGCCTGAGAAGGACATCTCAGAGTAGAAGACGACGATCACAGGGTGTTTTATCAACGCCCTATAATTGGAGAACGTTGCCTTCGAGGTAATACCTTGCCATTATTATTTATCTCTCTCTAGCGTGAGCTCTCTCTCGGATTTTAGCGTTAGGTTAGAATAGATTTTAGAATACCTATTTACATCTTGATTCGCGTATGTTGTATTTAATATCTTTGTGTAAATTTTCTTAGTTATTTATTAAATGTGTTCGTTAATTTAAACCCGTGTAGTCTTTTGGACACCTGGTCACGACTTCCCGACTCCTCCCCACTCATATTTTTAGCCCTCCTATGCCATCCGACAACCGAGAGCAGGTCTTTCCGACCCGTGCAGATTAAGTGGTCATTAGGGGCCCCCTGCTACTCACACATTCATTTTTTTAAAAGAATATAATTATTTAAATTTTAATAATAATAAAATATTCTTACCTCTTGTAAAACAGCTTGAAGTAATTTTTCCATTATTTCACATTTTATTTCACTATCCCTAATAAAATATTTAAAAATTTAAATAGATCATCTTATGCCAAATCAATGTATTATTAATTACTTGTACAGAATTTTATTTTATAAATTAAAAATGTCTTTGATTTTACCAACAGTTAAATTAGTAAACTGTATGAGCCATTATGCATGGAATTTTAGCTCTGCTAAAGTAATAAATAGCTTGTTCCAATTCTTTCTTACTACTCTATACAGGTTGTGAACTACACAAAACTGATACTTAATATATACAGTCAAACCTCAGTTATCGAACATAATTTGTTTCTAAAAGTTGTTTGAAAACCGATTTGTTCTAAAACCAAAACAAATTTTCTCATACAAAACAATATAAAATTAATTAATTTGTTCCTGACACCAAAACAAAGCCCTTTTTTACCTTTTTAGCTTTATTTCATGCATAAAAAGGCCTACAAATGCAATGTAATATTACAGTAAGAAATATTAAATATTATAATATATAATATTATATTAATTAAATTTGTTATTTAATTTAACTGAAGCATATTTAAACACAAATTCTTGAATGCCATTTATATTATGTGAATGTCAATTAACATGGTTTTTATTAATTAATTTGATTTAGATTCAATTGTAGTGCATACTGAAAAATGAAAATAGAATCGTTCCTGAATGTGCATTGAAATCTAATTTCAACAGAAACATCATCAATGATTTGTGTTGTGATGTCTAATGACGTGAGGTGATCTCAGAGCCACTAACTTCTGAATAGATAGTCCTGTCATTGATTACTCTGACCGTAGACTTTCTTAACATAGGAAGTATAAAGAATTGACCATCTGTCTCTCTCTAATATATGACCGGCTCTTGCCAAGTAGCTTGTTCAGCAACCAAGTTACTGTATGAGAACTAGTGCAATTATGAGTTCGAAAATCTGTTTGTAAACTGAACTGTTCAAAAAATGAAATCATTCGAAAACCAAGGTTTCACTGTAATTCAGAATTCTGTAAATTCAAGATGTAAAAAAAATTGTTTATATTCACTGTTATGGAGTCAGTCACCGAAGTCAAATGTTTTAGAGCACAGTGAAAGTCAGTAAAATTCTTTCAATTCCATTCACTCTGACCTTGAATTTTATTACTAGTAAAATGTGAAGTATGAAAAATACTTTTTAATTAGTTTCTACAGAAATTTCTTAGAAAACAGATGCTTTGATAAATTTACATATCAAAAAGATATTCATCTATGTAGGCCATTTCACACCAAAGTTTTATGCATATTGCATGCAACATGATCTATAATTTCAGAAAATAGCTTTTATTAATTTATATGAATATATTCATATCACCTAGAGCAGTGTTTCTCAAACTTTTTGCTTGAGTGTCCCAATATATTATATATAGTGACCCAAGGAAGATATAATATTGATTAGTATTAAGATAAGTTCCAGCTTCAAAAACATTTCATCATTCCAAAAATATTTAAAATAAAAATTAAACAATTTTCAAAAATCTCTATACTATTATTATAAAAACTTATTAAAAAATCTTATCATTACACAATGCTACACTTTAGAAATAATAAATATCATAATTAAAAACTTACTTCTCATTTTGAAGATTTAATACTAATGTTTTCACATCTCCATTTAATTGTTCAATGTGATCATTGATGTTAATTTGTTCAACCTTTGATGATTCACGTATTGGCCTAAACTTCATATCCCGAATGCGAAGTTTGCCTATATGAAATATATCATTTTTTAATTTCATAAATATTTTAATAATTATATTTCCTACACGTTCATGTCTTATAAAAAATAAACTAAAAAACATTTCTACAAAAAGTCATCCTAGTTGATTAACTTTTTTTTTTTATTAAAATTTTTAAATTTTGCAAGAGAAAATAAATATCTGAATTAAAAATAAAAAGTTTTAAAAAAATCTAGAAAACAAAAAAGAAATTATTGTAATTAATATTTTAATGATTTTTTTTTGTTGAAGTAAACTTGAAAAATAAAAGGTAACATTTTATAAATTCCAATAATTTTTGTATACATTTTTCGATAATTTTGACATAACATTGACATTTGACAAAAACTAATGGAGAAATCATATGAATGATTTCTCCATTAGTTTTTAGAATATTGACTTCTGGAAGAGGAAATTACTATCATATAAAATAAATTTTTTTGAAACTCAATGTTTTCTTTAGTTTAAATTTTTAGTTTTCATGTTTAAAATAAAATTTGTTCAGAATCTCTGTTCTTATTATGTCAGATTCATACTTGTAGTTTTTATTATCAATGTTAAAAATATAATCTACTTTAGTTTGTGCAAATTTTTTACTTTAAGTTAATCTTTAATTGTTTAATATAAATAACTTGTATAAAAATTACATGATAAAACAAATTCATTAATCTTTTATTTCTTTATTTTATCATATTAAATTTTTATCTACAAATATATGTCACATGTAAGTTATAAGCATTTCTTATGAATATGCTGATAAAAGTTTAATAAATATAAACAAAGCTGAGAGCTTCATAAACAATATAAACATGTCCTAAATATCAACACATGATAAATTAAGAAAATATTTTATCAAAACATTTGGTTGTTTTTTCATTTTCATTTCTATTAAAATTTTTATTTTAAAATTGTGTATTTTTACAAATTATTAGTGTTGCAACGAATAGTATATTCAGCCTCAGGCCAAATACCGAATATTCAGCCAGGAGCGTGGCCAAATAGCCAAATATTCGGCTCGATTAACGCATGTACGAAAATTGGCGCGCAAACTGCATTATGGCAAGGACCCTGCTCTCTATTGGCCCACTGTCACTACGCTTCGCCAATCGCATTAATTCTTGACAGTTCAGACAAGAGCGTCATGGCAGTATGTGATAAGTGATGATAGCAAATATGGATAACAATGAAATGATCTACATGTGTAAATAATGGAAGAAGAACAGAGAAGAACCGCAAAGTGAAAATGTGAAAATAAATATGAAATTGAGTTGATAACATAATCGAACAAGTCGAGCAGCTCATTGGCCCGAAATTCGCGGCCGTCAATGCCAAACAATTGTTGTCATAGACTTCGGAAAGCTAAATGCTTGTAACGAAAGTCACTTAGTGTGCACGGGCGAAAGCCTGGGGTTGTTTGGGCTACCAAGCTGTTTCGAATCTGTGAAATCATAACTGTGACTTATACCATCATCCTATCTGTCTCTTTTCTCCATCATCACCAGGCTATGAGTCACGTAATTGTAAAATGGGAAATCTACGACGGAAAAGTGACGAATCGAAAGTATCGTGAGCGCGTATTATGATGTATGCATAGGCATACGTGGACTAGAGCGATAGAGGAAAGAGAAAGGGAAGAGCAAAGACGAGCGCTTAAAAAGAAGGATAGGCAGGGTCAGACCCTCAGATGTGTGACGATTCTTGAACGAATAGGTGTATACGTGTGCTAATCTTTGTAATTATAAACTGTGAATACAAGTGACTAATAATGTTTTTTTTTTATTCTGTGCATGTTATAAGTAATAAATAAATATAAACAAACAACACTAACCCGATAACATTAAATCTAAATACCAAAATGATTAATTTACTGTGTTTTTGTCATTTCTTACTCCTGTTTTTAGGTATTCGGTATTCGGCTGAATAGCAAAAAATAGGCCGAATACCGAATAGTAACCGAATATTCGTTACATCACTACAAATTATATATTTTCTCAAGTATTAAATTCATGTGGATAAAATATGCATCTTGATTTGAAAACCCTAATTTTAAAACAAATTTACTGCTTTTCCTGAATTAGACATTTCAAATTAAAATACACATCTTGTTCCTTTATTAGCTTTAAAGTTGTTAACTAAATATATTGTTATTAATAATCTCTTACTCTGGACATCAATATCAATAGTTAATATATATATATATAGAAAAAGAATACTAAATTCAGACTTCTAAATAACAAGGAATAAAAATCAAACTTTAGGAGTAGGGGTTTAGAAGAGCCACAATTTAGTCACTATGGCTATATAATATCTTATTCACAGTATGAAGAAAAACTAAAACAGAATATTTAGAAATTTTATTTAAATTTGTATGTTTTCAATTTTTAGACTTATTCAGTCTAAAAATTTACAATGAAAAATTTCCAAAATTGACAATTTTATAATAGAGATAATCATTAAAATTTTTTCAACTTGCAATGAAAAAATCTTACAATATTCCTCATTATTCTATATTTCACTTATAAAAGCTATTATGTGTTAATTTACAGACAAACAATATTTGAAAAACTTTATATTTCTCAGGTTTCCAATATAAAACTGCCATCCAAAAAAGCATATTAAAAAAGTACTTTCAAATTAAACCAACATGTCTTTCATAATAACCTCATGAAACTCCCATTCAAAATCTCTGTAAAGCATCAATGTAAATTAACATCTAACAAAACTAAACAATTGCTAAATTAGATAGGGTTATATTTCTGCTAATATTAATAATTAAATGCTAAGTAATTTGGCTAAAGGCAAAAAGCAACAAATCAATCCAAAATGGAACTTGAACTTTTCCAGATCCTTCTAAATTAATTAATAAATAAATATTAATTTAACTATAATAATTAAATTTAATAAGAGATGGCACCTAATGCCTACTTCTAAGCCAAATTACTTACCATTTAATTATTAATAGTAGCAATAATATAGCCCAATCTAATCCAGCAATCATTCAGTTTTAGTATAAATATTGGGATTACAGTTTATATTTGTATCTAACAAAACAATAGCTGACAATATAAACTAATTAAAACTTTCTACAAATTCCATCAAATTCATTTTTAATATAAAGCATACTTTAATATAAGTTATTAATCAGTATTGGCATTTTAAACAGAAGTACAGAGTGTCCCACTCAGGCGTACAACTTTAAAAATGCGAATTACTCGTGAATACGTGCATGTATCATCATGCAACAAGGTTCAAAATATTCTTTATTTAATGAAGAATTGATTGAGGCTCTCTTACACGATCAGAAGATCGGAGTGTGGTGCATGATTTCTCGTTCTCAGATCATTGGTCCAATTTTCTTTGACGAGACTGTGAACACCGATCAATACTTGTCCATATTTGACAAATTTATGAAACAACTGGACGACTACAAACTTCAAGAAGGTTACTCCCAACAGGACGGGGCAATGTACCATACTTCTCATGCCAGTATGGAAGAGATCCGATCGTTTTTTGGATACAAGGTGATCTCAAAAGGTTTGTGGCCACCTTGATTGTTCGATTTAACTCCCCCAGATTTTTTTCTATGGAGATATTTAAAGGGCAAGATGTATGCAAGCAAACCCAGGACCATTGAACAACCGAAAGCAAACATCAAGCGTGAAATTGCTGCTATCGACAGTGACATGTTGCAGAGGACATTCTCAAATATGGAGTATCGCATTTCCTTGTGCTCGGACATTGGGGAGAACATTTTCAGCACCTTTTGTAATGTGGACTTGTTTTCCACTAAATACAGGTATGTTCAGTTCTTACAGCTCGCCTTTATGTTCACATGTTCGCAAGTAATTCGCATTTTTAAACTTGTACTCCTGAGTGGGACACCCTGTATAAATGAATGTAAAAAAAGCACAAATTAATTTTTTAAATAAAAAAAATATAAAGTTTTGTCAAATCCTTATAAAAGAAATCATATGGATAGAAATAACAGTAGTAACCAAAAATATTTTTCAAGAAAAACAAAAGCTGAAAAATACAAAGTAATTAATATTTATTTTTTGTATATTATTCCAGTTGGACCAATCTATTAACTGCATGAGATTGAAATCTTCAAATTATATCAGTCAAAAATGTTTAGTATTTTGCAAAACTTCATTTTTTTAATTTGAAAATCCTGAATCATTAACTTACATACTGAAAATCAATATCTGTACCAATAACTAATATATGATTAAATAATTTGCATTGGTATTAAAGAATCTTACCTAAAGGAATATCATCTTCATCCTCACTAAACTGAGCTTCATTTTCATTATTATTTGGTGTAGAATTAAAATTTCCATCATTCAGTACTTCTACAGGTTCTCTGATAGGTATTGGTTCTTCAGGTTTTCCTATAAAAATGAATATAACATAAACAATATTGTTAAATTATCTAATATATAAACTATGTATAACTATTAATAATTGTGTTTATCATATATTATAAATTTATACATAATTTTATAAGGTTCTGTAACATCTCCTTGAGAGCTGACTTAATTTTCTAAATAAAATAATTCATAATAATTTTGGCAGAAATATAGTAATACATGTAATATTGGGATTAAAATTTTAAGAAAAGATAATTAGTTATTTAATCAAATATTTCACTTATTATATGCTATTATTAACATTTTTAAGTATCAAATAGATATTTTATTATAATTTTCAGTAACTATTATATTAATTGTTATCTCATGATAGTTATAAAAAGTTTTAAACTTATCTTTATATACTTTAAACTGATTATTTCAACAATAAAAAGGAATCCAAGCAGATACTCTAGTTGTCATAACTCTTCCTGTTGCTACTTACAAATAGAAATTCCACTATCTTATTAAGTAACGAATTATGGAAGTCATTGATATTTTTAAGTAAGTGAAATCTTGAAAACAATCTGATAGATGTATTATCTACTCAAGAATTAAATTTTGACTACTATACTAACTTGTTATTCATTTTTTCTTACTTATAAAAAAAATTAAAGTTTACTGAAACTTTAAATATTTAGACTTCACATGTTCACAGTAATCTTAAATATCATCTAGCTAAACAAAGTGATGTATTTCAATGTCAAAATAACCAAGTTTCATTAAATTAACAAGTGACTGAAACTGATAAATGAATTTATCATAAATCCATCAATAAATTTAAATTCTATGGTTCAAAGTCCAGTTCACTCAATAAATTACAGACTTTATTCAGCAAAAAAGAAATGAATAAATGATATTGGTGTAAACAGGATTATTAGCATTACATTCTTTATTCCAAAATTAAATAACCTCATTGTCTTTGACTCTTCAGATTCCAAAATTATTCTATTAACACCAAAACCAAGTATTTGATATGCAATTATTTTCTTAACATAAAGAACTTCAAAATATTGTTCTAAAACAAGTAAAAAATTTTAATTGACTATCTTGCAACAAATTTACAGATTATATTTCTGTATCCTCTTTCTCTCCAAAATAAATTTAGTTAAATGTAAGTAAATATGTATTAATCCATCAAAGTTTATACAAATAAATAAATTTGAAAAAATAACTTTCAGCTCATTAAATTTTTCAAAAAATTTATTCATATATTTAATATATTCACAGCTGAATTAGAAGTAAAAAATTGTCATAGAATTTTATTTCTATCTTAACATCTGATGTCACCATGAATAGTTATTATGGAGAATACATCTTTAACCATAATAAATTCAGTAGGCTTATAATCATTACTAATCAATAATAGCATCACCTCTGCAATGTCCTGACAATATTTTGCAACTCATTTTTTTAAATTAAAAAAAAATTATACAGGTAATTTATACCTTTTGCTTTATGTTAATATCATATATAATTACTATAATCCATTAAAAACTCAGAAACATAGATGAACATTTTACACATTTAATATTAAAGAAAGTGAATCACATAAAATAAATTATTTTCCTATTATTATTCACACTAATTTATGGTATCATATTTATATGGAATAATTTCTTTGATGTCATTAAAAATTCTTATGATTTTATTTAATAAAAATTTTTTTTACTTATCTATTTTATTTATTACATTTAATTTTTATATTATTTTTAAACATTTATATCTAAAACAACAATAGTCAATAATTCATATTTCAAATAATTTCAGATTAATTTTAATTTGAATGAATTTTACATTATTACATTTGATTTAACAGAAACAGAAAAGAATTTTATTTTAAATTTTATCCAACACTTAATTTTTTTATTCTTGATAACATTGTAAAAATAAAGTCAATAAACTTTCTTAAAAAATCCCTACATATTATTATAAAATTATTTTAAACTTCATATTAGAATAATTTCAATATTTTTTGAAAGTTATGGAAACTAGTAATTTATGTAATTTAACTTATCAACATTTTAACTGGCTAATTTTATATTTAATTCTTAATAAAACAATATCTTTTTTAAATTATTCTATTAAAATGTATAAAAATTAAATATAGACCAATACCTTCTCCTAATGTACAAAATTCTGCAAAAGAATCTCTGATCATTGAGCGTAATTCTCGATCAAGTTTTGGATTATCAAAAAGCGGAGATAAGGACCTAAAAATATTATTATAAATTATTATTATTATTATTATTATTATTAAAAAAATTAAAAAATTTATATCTAAATATAAAATTGAATAACTTACGGTAAAACTCTTTTTTCTAATATCTGTCTTAATGATGTGTAAATACCCTGTCTAACTTCTCTAGCAAGAGGCACACAAAAATTGGACATAATCTATTTATTAAAAAAAATAAAAAAATTTTATTTTTATGTTAAAAATATAACAAAAATTTACTTTTCAATATATAAGATATTTTTCATAAAATTATTATTTCTTTTACTTTGAACATGTAGAAAAAGATCCATAATGTTTAACTAGACAACTACTATATGACAAAAACATTTTAAAATATGACTTGGGATATTTTTGGTTCTTTCTTATTGGATATTACTTAAAAATAATGCAACATTTAAAAACTTATAAGTGATTAGTCTACTTTTATATAATATTAAAATGTGGATTAAAAATGTATATGTAAATCTACCTAACAGAGATAACAAATCACTAAAGAAATTTCAGGTACTTAAATTTGACCCAAAAGTTATAGAAATAATACATTTGAAGAGAACAAATTTATAAACTAAAATAATAATTCACACTAATTAAATTAATAAAAGCAAATTTAGTTAATAGAAAGTAAAATTAAAAATAACAAACAAAAATGATTTGCATTGCATTTATATTTAGTAAATTTTAAAATTGTGTCATATGAGAATTATATTAATAGTAAAAATATTTTCTTCAAATCTGAAACACATAACAATATAAATAATTTGTAATAACTAAAAACTTGTTTTTCTGTTGATATAACTTCATTTAAGGAATAAGTAAAATACAGTTTGTAATACAGTAGAGTGTCGATTTTCCAAATCAATTGGGGACTGGGGTTGTCCAGATAACTGATATTTCGGATAACTGATTTACGTACGAAAAAATAGTTTAACGTATCCGATGTCAAAATTTTTCTCTGTTGCGTGTTACTTCGCGTTGAATTTTCGTCGATGTTAAGCCTAACAAAGACTATTGTATCGTTACAAATTATTTTTTTATTTTGTACAAACAAAATAAATATATTGAAAAATATAAAAACAATAAAAAATTATACTTCAGGAGTTAATTTAGTATCAAAAACGTAAAATATTTGAGTAGCC